GCATTCCGTCAGGTGGTGCGCCAGGGCGAGAACGCCAAGGGCAATGCTCTTTGATGCGGGTGATTCCCGCTGCTTTTCCACGAGTGTTGTTGCAATCGCCATGTCGCTACGGCATTGTCAGACCAGGCTTGTGGCTCGAACACTGGTGTGCAAAATAAGCAAGTGGCACGAAAGCACTCGGTGGTGAGCAAAAGTGATAGCGGGTCGGGAGTTTGTCGGGGGGACCGACATTGAGAGAGATAATTAAGATGGAAGGAAGACAGGCAAGGACCGAAGTCGACGAGCTTAAGCCTGTTGGTCAGTCCTGCTTCGACAAATGCGTGCCAACACTTCGTAAGGGCGGGGGAATGTCGCTCGCATCAACTTCATGCCGTGATGTAGTAGAAGAGGCAAATGGATAGGGGGACAGACAGAGAGAGAGAGAGAGAGAGACAGAGAGAGAGAGCCTTTTCACACCTGGTCCGTGAGCCCGACAAAGACTGGGGGGCCCATGTGGCCAGGGGGCCTGACAAGCTCCTTTGCCCCTGTGGAAGAAGAAGAGAGAGAGAGAGAGATAGCGCAACGCGTTCGATTTACGAGGAACACTCTTTTTTCTGCTCGGGACTTGCTGGAAGCCAGTGAGCACTTCGCCGGCCTGTGTTACAGTAGGTTACTGCGTGCAGACTCCAAACTCAGTGTGCAAAGAGAAGAAGTGAACAGATGGTCGTGTGTGAAGAGGGGCTTTCACGAAAATAAACGCTCCGCATGTTTGGCTTCAGTTTTTCACAGAAGACACACAGCACTGCCGCAGACGCCGTAGCATCAGAAGATCATGGCTCGTTCCAGCTCTGTTGCAGCCCCGCTGCTGTTCATCGCTGCCGCTGCCTACGTGTTGAGCTGCTGCAGGACGGCGCCGTCCTTCGTGGCACCCCCAAAGGCTGCTGAAGCGGCTCTGCAGCAACAGCAACAAGCCGCAGTCGTGAGCGCAACGCTGGCAGCTGCCTCCATGCCAGCTCCTGCTTGGGCGGCGCGTGCTTCGGACGAGGATGACGAGGGCTTCGATGTCCGCATCATTGCCGTGCTGGCCTTGCCCCTGTTCGCCATCTCCTGGGCCCTCTTCAACGTGTGGCGTGTGGCATTCCGTCAGGTGGTGCGACAGGGTGAGAATGCCAAGGGCAACGCTCTGTGATGTGGTCTTTGGAAACCTCGCCTTCTCCGGCCCGTTTTTGCACAAGCAGCTGTACAGCACCGGCAAGAAAGCGACGGTTGCGTTTGCATCCTTCCCCGATTGCCATGCAGACAAAAGATCTCCTGCTTCTGCAAAGGGAGCAGAAAACGCGAGCTCGCCCCATTCAGCTAGAACGCCTGGTAGCAGGACAGGCCGCTGGCACGCATGTGCAACTGAGTAATCATCTCACGGCGATCATGGTTGGCATAGCTTCGCGGCTCAAAAGCAGCACGGACATAAACGCTCTGCTTGCAGCATAAGATCATGGCTCGCTCCAGCTCCGTTGCGGCCCCGCTGCTGTTCATCGCTGCGGCCGCCTATGTCTTAAGTTGCTGCAGATCGGCGCCGTCCTTCGTGGCACCCCCAAAGGCTGCTGAGGCGGCTCTGCAGCAACAGCAGCAAGCCGCAGTGGTGAGCGCAACGCTGGCAGCGGCCTCCATGCCAGCTCCTGCTTGGGCGGCACGAGCTTCGGACGAGGATGACGAGGGCTTCGATGTCCGCATCATTGCCGTGCTGGCCTTGCCCCTGTTCGCCATCTCCTGGGCCCTCTTCAACGTGTGGCGTGTGGCATTCCGTCAGGTGGTGCGACAGGGTGAGAACGCCAAGGGCAATGCTCTTTGATGCCCTGATCTTCCTGGGGCCCTGTCTGTTTGGGGTCGTTTTTGCAGCTCCATTAGTAATAGTACGATAGCAGCATCGTGCAGGTTGTGAACATCTCTAGGCTAAATAGCCGCAGACTGGCCTGGCGCTGTCTACAAAAGCACCACATGCTAGGGGGGGGGCCGTCACATGCCGCACATGAGTCCATTGATGCGTGCACCGTAACTGTACTCAAGGCCAAATGCGGCCATTGCAAGTTTCTGGCTCAAGCGCTCCGTAAATCTGCAGACCCCCCGCTAAACAACAGCATAAGATCATGGCTCGCTCCAGCTCCATTGCAGCCCCGCTGCTGTTCATCGCTGCCGCTGCCTACATGTTGAGCTGCTGCAGGACGGCGCCGTCCTTCGTGGCACCCCCAAAGGCTGCTGAAGCGGCTCTGCAGCAACAGCAGCAAGCCGCAGTCGTGAGCGCAACGCTGGCAGCTGCCTCCATGCCAGCTCCTGCTTGGGCGGCACGAGCTTCGGACGAGGATGACGAGGGCTTCGATGTCCGCATCATTGCGGTGCTGGCCTTGCCCCTGTTCGCCATNNCTCTTCAACGTGTGGCGCGTGGCATTTCGTCAGGTTGTGCGCCAGGGTGAGAACGCCAAGGGCAATGCGCTTTAAGGTTCTGCCTATTCGGGATCGTTTTTTGCATCTTCGGCTGTACAGCGTGAAAAGGCGCGCATCGCCAGAGTAGGATGCTTTGAGACCCTCCTGCCTGTGGTAGTCCACAGAACCCGTTCATCGCCAGCATGTTGTTTTCCATCACCAAGTCGTAGTCGATAGCACGGTTCTGTAATTCGGGCAAGCAACTACGAATCATCCGCTCGCCCACTGCACTGTCACGCTAGTCATCATCGCTATCTCGCACAAAGCAGACAATCATAGCAGGAGCTGTCTTGTCTTGAACTGGTGCCGTACCTGGCCGTTGGAGGACAAGTACTTGAACGGTTGCAGTTTTTGATCACAGGCACAGGCACCCATCGTAGCAGCAGAAGCTAGCTGAAGAAAATGACTCGTTCCAGCTCCGTTGCGGCCCCGCTGCTGTTCATCGCTGCGGCCGCCTATGTCTTAAGTTGCTGCAGATCGGCGCCGTCCTTCGTGGCACCCCCAAAGGCTGCTGAAGCGGCTCTGCAGCAACAGCAGCAAGCCGCAGTCGTGAGCGCAACGCTGGCAGCTGCCTCCATGCCAGCTCCTGCTTGGGCGGCACGTGCTTCGGACGAGGATGACGAGGGCTTCGATGTTCGCATCATTGCCGTGCTGGCCTTGCC